TGGCTGGGAGCTGAGACCGTCACCCCAGTCTCTTTCCAGCATCTCATCCGCCCAGACACTGAAAGCGTCTATACTGACCTCCTGAATCTTCAACCATTACCCATCTCGGCCCTTAAGAACCCTGCTCTTGAAGAACTCTATGCCAAGCGCTTCGAATATTTCAACCCCATGCAAACGCAAATCTTCCATACGCTTTACCATACACCTGCCAATGTTCTTCTTGGATCACCTACTGGTAGCGGCAAGACTGTTGCTGCTGAGCTTGCCATGTGGTGGGCTTTCCGTGAAAGACCCAAGTCCAAGGTTGTCTATATTGCGCCGATGAAGGCACTTGTCCGTGAGCGAGTCAAAGACTGGGGTGTTAGATTGGCGCGACCACTGGGCTTGAAGTTGGTGGAGCTGACTGGTGACAATACTCCTGATACTAGAACTATCCAGGACGCTGATATCATCATCACTACGCCTGAGAAGTGGGACGGTATTTCTCGTTCTTGGCAGACAAGAGGATACGTTCGACAGGTGAGCCTGGTCATCATTGACGAGATTCATCTTCTGGCTGGAGACCGAGGTCCTATTCTCGAAATCATTGTGTCTCGTATGAACTACATTGCTTCCTCGACCAAAAATGCCGTCCGTCTCCTGGGCATGTCAACCGCGTGCGCCAACGCGACAGACCTGGGTAACTGGCTAGGTGTCAAAGAGGGTCTTTTCAACTTTAAGCACTCTGTTCGTCCTGTTCCCCTGGAATTATACATCGATGGCTTCCCAGAAGTCAGGGGATTCTGTCCTTTGATGCAGTCTATGAATCGCCCCACCTTCTTGGCTGTGAAGAACCACAGTCCTGACAAGCCTGTCATTGTTTTCGTTCCCTCGCGAAGACAGACTCGTCTGACAGCAAAAGATCTCATCAACTTTTGTGGTATGGAAGATAACCCCCGGCGATTCCTTCACATGGACGAAGAAGATTTGCAGCTTAACCTTGCTCGGGTCAAGGATGACGCGCTGAAGGAGGCCATCAACTTTGGAATTGGTCTACATCACGCTGGTCTAGTTGAGTCGGATCGTCAGCTTGCTGAAGAGTTGTTCTTGAACAACAAGATCCAGATCCTGGTCGCTACTAGTACTCTCGCCTGGGGTGTCAACTTGCCTGCTCATTTGGTTGTCGTCAAAGGAACACAATTCTTCGATGCCAAAATCGAGGCATACAAAGACATGGACTTGACCGATGTTCTACAAATGTTAGGCCGTGCCGGTCGTCCGCAGTTCGACAACTCAGGAGTTGCACGTATTTTTACCCAGGATTCCAAGAAAGACTTTTACAAGCACTTCCTTCACACTGGCTTCCCAGTCGAGTCCTCGCTTCACACTGTTTTGGATAACCATCTTGGCGCCGAAATTTCGGCTGAGACCATTGTCACCAAACAGGACGCGCTCGACTATCTTACATGGACATTCTTCTTCAGACGACTACACAAGAATCCGTCATACTACGGACTCGAGATTTCTGCTGAGGAACACAATAGCATTGCTGCTCAGCAGCTTGCTAATGAATACATGATTGAGATGGTTAGCAAGTCACTAAACGAGCTTGCTGACTCTAAATGTGTTGAGGTGTTCCCCAATGGCGACGTTGATCCCACACCTCTTGGCAAGATCATGAGTTACTACTACCTCTCGCACAAGACGATCCGTCACCTTGTCAAGCATGCGAAAGCTCAAGCTTCATTCCTCGACGTCTTGTCATGGATGTCCCGCGCTACCGAGTACGACGAACTCCCCGTTCGTCATAATGAAGACCTCATAAACAACACTCTTTCAGACAATTTGCCATTCCCTGGTCACGCCTTTGGGCTGCCTATGTGGGATCCCCATGTGAAGGCTTTCCTGCTTCTCCAAGCACATATGTCTCAGATAGACCTCCCGATCACTGATTATGTGGGTGATCAGACAAGTGTTCTCGATCAGGCTATTCGTGTCATACAAGCCTCCATCGATGTTCTGACTGAGCTTGGCTATCTGTCCAGTTGCCTGCAAATGATGGCCCTTCTACAGTCGATCAAGTCCGCTCGTTGGCCAACTGATGCACCAGTGTCAATCCTACCTACGGTCGAGCCCGACGTCAAGAACGATACACCAATTTCTAAGATTAGCGCGCTGACTAGACCTCAGGCGATGCAACTTGCTAAGAAGCTTGGTGTACCTGCGAGCCAGCACAACCGCTTCGCTCGTGCTGTATCCATCCTACCCAACGTTGAGGTGTCCATCGCTGCAGCCACAGCACTCTCAGTGACCATTGGGCTTAAGCGTCTCAACCAGCTTGTCGAGCGAGAGGCTCGCATCTACGCACCCAAGTTCCCTAAACCACAAACAGAATCGTGGTTCGTTATCGTGGCCGATTTAACAAGAGACGAAGTCATTGCAGTGAAGCGTGTGGGTTGGACCACGAACCCCAGTCGCAAGCTCGAGGCTGGTGGTCGGCCCACGGCGAAGACAACCATCAAGCTCCCTCCCGCTCAGGCAGGCCAGGCCCGCAAGTTCGACGTTCTTGTTGTCAGCGATGCTTATCCGGGTCTTGAATATCGTGTTGAAGGTGTCGCTATTCCTGCTCCGCCCACTGTGGATGATGCTGTGCAGTCGAAGAAGGCAGATGCGTCTGGGTCGAAATGATGGAAGCCAGTTAGATTGACTCGAACCACGCGGAAATGACAGATACACTGAGCGATTTACAGTGAATTCAGGTAGATCAATCAATTAACAAGAGTAGAGAACAATAGTTTGGTGTGCCTCCCATGTTAAATAAATCGAGTGCCTACAACAACACATCGCCGTCGATGTTCATACCGACCTTGAGCTTCGTGATAACAAGATATCCGGATTGTAGTCAAACTTTCTCTACAGTACGGAGTAGCCTTGAACTCATCTGTTATGAACGTGATAATTATTCTAACTTCAGCACAGACACTTGTCCCAGTTTAATTCCTGGTTGCTGGACTAGTCCAGGATTGAATCCTTGGAGTCAATGACACCTACATTTTGACGAATTAGCCATTTATAGACAGAGACCCTGATTATCTTGACCAAACCCAACGTTAGTTGTCAATCTCCAGGGTCTTTCGCATCTCATTCATTTGTTAGCGTGTTCATAGCGAATTTCTTAGCGAGCATTCATGCACTTCGTTTCCAAGCATAGCATTTGCTCTTAGACATAGCGTGTTTCTAAATGTCAAAACTTCGGATTCTCATCTCAGGCGGTGGCATCGCTGGTCCATCTGCTGCTTTCTGGCTTTCCCGTCTTGGCCATTCCTGCACCATTATAGAAAGATTCCCCTCACTACGCACTGGAGGTCAACAGATTGACATTCGCGGCCAAGGTATCGAAGCTGCGAAGCGCATGGGAATTCTTGAAGAGATCCGGAATAAAGCGGTTGATGAAGATGGCCTACAATGGGTTGATTCGCAAGGGAAGCAGAAAGCTCTGCTCGAAAGGAATGATTCGGGGAAAGGGAGACAGTCGTTCACAAGTGAATTCGAAGTCATGAGAGGAGATTTGTGCAAGATCATATACGAGGCGACGAGACAAAGAGCCCAATATCGCTTCGGGACATCAATTGAGAGTTTTGGGAATGTTGGTGATGAGGTCAAGGTCAGATTTTCGGATGGAGCTGATGAAAGCTACGATCTTGTCATTGCCGCAGACGGTCAAGGCTCGAGAGTCCGACGGAAGCTATTCGCTGATGATCCTGAAGCTGTTCATGTGCGCGACCTCAATCTGAATGGATGTTACTATAATCTGCCACGGGAAGCAGGCGACAAGAATCTTGCCACTGTATACAGCGCCCCAGGCCGCCGTGTGATCTCAACGCGTTGGCACTCAAAGGATAGAGGCCAAGCATACCTTATGACAATGTCCCACGTGGAGAAGCTGAAAGAGGTCATGAATCAGGACGTTGATGCTCAGAAGAAGCTTTTTGCAGAGATCTTTGAGGATGCAGGATGGCAGGCTCCGAGACTCATCAAGGCTATGCATGAGACCGAAGACTTTTACGCACAGTCTATCGTCCAGATCAAGACCAAGACGTGGTCTAAAGGGAGAGTTGTTCTACTAGGTGATGCAGGATATGCTCCATCTCCACTGACGGGTGTGGGAACTACACTCGCTCTGATAGGAGCCTGTGTGCTCAGCGGAGAAATTGAGAGACATGGCCATGATATCCCCAGAGCTCTCAAGGCATATGAAGATACTCTGAGACCATACGCTGAGAAGTCTCAAAAACTGCCGTCGTTCGTCCCTGGTATTGCATACCCAAAGACGAGCTTTGGAATCAAGTTGCAGTACTCGATTATTGGGCTCATCACCAAGCTGAAGATTGATAAGGCGATTCTTGCTGTATTGCCGGAGGATAGAGGGACTTGGAGAATACCTGCTTATGAAGAGCTAGGTGGTTCAAAGGGATGAGCTATCGGCTATGATCTGATCGCACAAAGATATCGAGAATGCCAACACAGAGGGCACTTCAGCAGAAGGCTAACTTTAGGCAATTTTAGAGGATTAATGTCATAATTTAGAGTAGTTTACCAAAACTATGTCTCAATAAAAGTTTGAATGCTTCAAAGCCATCTTTTTGTTTCAAAACCCTCTCGGGGTGAGTCACTCATGTCCACAAGAAGTAAAAGTTAATATGTACTATAAGTATTAATATGTACTATAAGTAGGGGATTCTCGCCTCAAACCCTCCTGTACCCTTTCACTTCTCGGAACTCGCAAACATAACCAAATCTACCAACAAAATGGGTATTGCGATGCATGCAAGTCGCTTACTTTACCTTCCCTTTGAGTTGAGGGACATGATCTGGGGCTTTTCCAGATTCAACCGGAAATGCAATCGGATTATTGAGATGCTGTCGACAGACCAGAGACGAATTCTCTCCTTACTGCCAGCTCCCTGACAAGGTCAACGAACTTCAGAAGCTCAAGATCCTGGTAGACTCGACGTACGACCATGGAATTTGGCTCAAAGTTTGATTACTACTGGAAGCAGGATGGTCACATTCGTCACGCTGTGAGCGCCATTCAGGATATCAGCGATCCTATGGTTTTTCGTCTTGGCAGGATGAGAAATATTGACGATATCGTCGTGATACTACGCGCCCCAAGACGAGGTTACTTTGTCGGGGCGTTTATGATGATGTTTGCCAAGATGGATGATGTCTACGCCTTCATCTACATTAGGTCAAGGTTTCCCAAAAACAAGGGGTGGCCCTCAGACGCCAAAATGGCCATTCGTTTTACCACCGAAGGTGTACGATCCAGCCAATCAACAAGAGAAGCAAAGAACTTCTGGGAGTGCCGAGCAACGAAGATACTCGAGGATCCATTAAGGAAGCATATAACAGACCGGGCACAGATGCCCTATTTCTCTGAGTACTTCTTTATCTCTTGGGCTAAATTGCCAAGCGTGCCCACCATTCTACACGATAAGGCGGTACAGAGTCATGGGCATCGAGGCTATCAATTGCCCGCTCGCAATGCCATGTCTGGCCGTGCGCGAAAGGAATTTGAGGAGACGCTTCTCAACTTACAGAGGAATATCGCCGCGTATGCGGCCAGGATGCTAGTTGAAAAACACAAAGACATATGGGACCCACCATTGTCTGATAATCTGGAGCCTCCAGATCAATTGGCCTGGGAACATATCAACTACCACAGAAGGAGTTTCAAGGCCAGGTATCAATTTCTACTGGACAACCTGGTTGGCCCTGTCGGAGGCTGTATGGATATGTTGCGATTGCATCGTTTCAAGACGATGTTTTCCTCACCACGGGATTACTTTAACCGCCATGAAAGGATTGCTGGAAGAGACAATGGTGGACTTGCTGGAGCTTCTAGCAAGATCAATCAGCGTCTGAGAGCACTATCTGATCCTTATGTGACAGAGGAAGTCCTCCCTCTACGACAAACATGCTCGCATTTTCGTGCGGTTCCCTTGGCCACTGCTTCTTCAGAAATCCCCCTGAGTCTCGTTCTTCCTCCCTCTGGTTGGAGCACTATCCCAATGGTATCCGGTACCACTGGAGCGGCAGGAATCTCGTCGAATGGAACTTTCGATGGGAAGCAAAGAAGCATCAGATACGCAGGGGAAGATACAGAGAGGACCGCGTGGCGCGTTTGAGCCGATGGTGGGAATGTATGGGCTGCTGTCAAGGTTCGTTACATTGTATGAGCGAGCTTGCATCCCCATGCGACCGGAAGCGCCTCAGGAACACGTATGCATTCATTCAGGACTACGATTCCGACGACCCATATGACCAGTTGCAGTCAGAGGATATTAGGATCGGCCGACCAGCGATAATAAGTCGAGAGTGCATTCGGAAACTGAAGCTCAAGAAGGGCTGGCCAAAGGGTAAGGATTGGTGCACCTATCGAACACTGGCTTCAGAGTATACAAGTTGGAACATCCGGTCACGTTCCAAGGAAACTACTGCGGACAAGGAGAAGTTCAGGTTGGTGTGCCGCGCATAATCAGTTGAGGCTTTGTGTAATGAGCGAGTTGATCCATGAAAGGAATATGTCACTGTCTAATACGGGTGGTCTCGAGGAACATGTTCCCGTAACGACAGTCATCGCTAGAGTATATATAGTGAGAGAACTCTATCAACAGTTGGTCGTTTCACTTCTAGTCGACTTCTAATTGTGCACAATAGAAATCTATGTGTTTGCAGTTGGCCTTAGCCTCGAAATACGGACTTTGAACTCTAGGGTGACACTCTAATCTAGGGGTACTGGGATGTGTATCGGATTGAGTGGTACCAGTACGTATCCCCAGCAGAGCCGGCAGGTTGGTTCTCGAAAGGAGAGCGGCTCTACGGTTCGTCATTCCGAATTACGTTTATCGAGACGGGGTTTTCGGGCCGCGATACCTTATTTTGCATAGCATTAACTTTGTGCATCACAAACAGACAATGCTACTCTATGAAGCATAAACTGAGATACTGTGCAACCTGACCAGCGTATTTTTCGTTCCTATCTCCCGTTACAAGTGATTCTATGTTTTATCACCGCAATATCAATTACATTTCTCTATAATATTTATTCATATCTCTAATATTATCTAGAATATTCTCCCGAGCCTTCTGTAGTTACAGTAGCAATGCCAGATGGCGTTACGCTCCCGATGTTGTATTGGCGATCTGTAGGGTAGCATTTTCTTAGCGCCGCACCTCAAACGGCTTATGTTAGAGAGGTTACAAGGACTACGTTTGCACAGGGAGATAAGCTCTGACAGGCCCTTGCCAGGTCAGTTCATCCTTTATTCAAGCTTAGTATTTGCCTTCAAGCTTCGAGTTCTATGCTTAAACCTAATGCTGAGTATAGTTAATTTGAAGTTTAATCAGACTGTCATTTGTGACTATTCACAGCCACGTATAGCCGTCGTAACCACAGACAATGATTTTCGCAACCCAATCGATGCGATATTCTTCAAATGTCTTGTTTGCTTGTCTGTTTCTTAACGGTTTATCGTTTTGAATTGATTGTACGTTGTTTGTCTCGATCTGACAGACAAGAAACACCAAACTTGTCGAAACACTCTCGTTTGCATTTCTCGTCCGATGCCATCCTCGCATCGTAAAAACGTACACGACTCGTTTCAAGAGAATGCAACTCCCCGAGGAAAACCTAGGTATGTACATATCATCTTTGCATAACCCCTTGAAACTAGACACCAGAATATCTCGGTCGCACATACAAAATTCTCCCCCAGTAGGAGATGGCAATTCTACGGTTTCAGGTGAAGAAGCGGATCTGCCAAGACAACAGGAGAGAAAGAGAATCGAAATTCCCATCGTTTACCGGCGCCTACTTCTCGAAAAGAATAGAGTCGCCGGCGCATGGGATATTTCAGACTTGAACGGTGGAAGTGGACGGGAACGGTGGCGTAGGCGTAGGCGTAGGCGGGATCGCTCCAATGGGGTGTGCTCTGATATTAAAGGTGCCAAGGGGCTAGGTTTCACGTTAGACACTCATCCAATCATGGGAGCGTCCTATAGAGCCTCAAACCGAACTTGGCAGGGGTTTAGCGTAACGCCTTGGGGGTTTTTTTTTTTGACAGCAAGGCCCGGGGTCTAGCGTAGTGTAAGCCAGCCCTGGCCCAGCTAGCCCAGGCCCAAGGGTTTCAATTTCCGCTACGCGTTTGCTGCAAGTGAGCTTATTTTTCCGTCTATCAATGTCTATATCGTTATGGGGTACGCACCAAAGGCGAGACGCCTGAACTGCAAGGGACCCTTCTCCTGAGGGTAGATTTGTTCCCTGATCTGATCTAGATTCAACTGTCACTCGCTGGACATGGTCCCAGCACACCATGTTTGAGGTTATGGCATGGCTTCTTGACGAGATGAAGTCAACTGAACTGAAGTGAGCTGATCCTTGTGGTGGGACTGACCGTAGTTTACACCTTGGCCAAAGAGGAATAGGAACAGGAATAGTTGGATCTAGGGCGGGCCTAATCTCAAGCTCAAGGCGTCGAGATTCGATATATAAGTCGACATCCTTCGTCGTCCTAATGCCTTCTTTTCTTTCTCTCCACACTCGTCGTAGCAAAATTAGTCTTTCTTCTTTCTATCTTCACTTTCTTTCAATTTGGCTGTGCCAAACCTTCATTCTTTCTAACAAACCACCGAAGCTCGAACTCTTTTACTTCCGCGACTTCTCGCTTCATCCAATCCTTTAACCAACACCAACTCAAACATATAACTATCTATCAAGATGCGTTTCTCCGCTTCCGCTGCTGCTCTGGCCATGGCCACCACCGTCTCGGCCCACGCTCAGGTCTACGGCCTCTGGGTCAACGGTGAGGACCAGGGTGATGGACGCAACGTCTACATCCGATCTCCCGCAAGCAACTCTCCCGTCAAGGACCTCACCAGCCCCGACCTCGTCTGCAACGTCAACGGTGGCAAGGCTGCTCCCAAGTTCGTCAAGGCCGCCTCCGGTGACGAGCTTACCTTCGAGTGGTACCACGATAACCGTGGAGATGATATCATTGATGGCAGCCACAAGGGTCCCATCATCACGTACATTGCTCCCTACACCGAGAGCGACGGCACTGGTGCTATCTGGACCAAGATTGCTGAGGACGGTTACGATGGCAAGGAGTGGGCTGTTGACAAGCTCATCGCGGCCAAGGGCAAGTCCACCTTCACTCTTCCCTCTGCCCTGAAGGCTGGCAAGTACATTGTTCGCCAGGAGATCATTGCTCACCACGAGTCCGATGTTGCTTACGCCTCCAACCCCGCCCGAGGTGCTCAGTTCTACCCCTCTTGCGCTCAGGTTGAGGTCACTGGCTCCGGCACTGCTGTCCCTGATGAGAAGTTCGACTTCAACAAGGGCTACACCTCCACCGACAAGGGCATTGTCTTCAACCTCTACGGTTCATACACCACCTACGACATCCCCGGCCCCGAGGTCTGGAAGGGAACCTCTTCCGGCTCTGGTTCTGACTCTGGCTCTACTCCCGAGACTCCTGCTGCCACCTCCGCCGCCGCCGAGGCTCCCGCCGCCACCTCCGCTGCTGCTACCCAGCCCGCTGGTGGCAACGCTGGTTCCGAGACCCAGGCTCCCGCCCCTACTCCTACCTTCGCCACCGTTGTCCGACCTTCCGAGGGTGCCTCCGCTCCCACTTCTTCTCCCGTCACTCCCCCCAAGACTGGCTGCTCTTCCAAGCGCCGCCGTACTCGCCGCGCTGCCCGCCGATCTCTGTAAAGAGCTCGAAAGAGTTCTGAATAGTGGAGAGTGAGCAACATGCGATACGTCCGTGACGTGTTCATGTACTTCTTTGCCAGCAAAAAAACGGATTTGTTCCTCCCTAGTGGAGGGCGATGAAACTGCATCTTTGCAGATGGCTTTCTGTTTGTAAATAGATTGTGCGCTGGCTTTTCAGTTGCATATCTTGTATAAATTTTATTACGACGACCGATCTTACTTTCCTCCCTGTTGCAATGTGATATGACACTTCCATGCTTCTTTAAGTGCTATGTAAATATGTCGAAGGTACTAGTTGAGGCTATATAACTTCTATGCTCCATACACTCACCTAGTGACATTGTAATAACCGAAGGCAGTGTATTCGCCAATTCCAATATATGTATTAAAACTAGAATGAGCCTCAAACTTGGTTTACAAAGCTATTCAGACGCTTCAAGTTGAACGATGGTATCTACAGAGTAAAGACAAGCCACTATGAAGAGTTGTACTTGTGTCCCGGCCGGGAAAAGTGGACCCATCCGGGCTTCCTCCGTCTTTACTTATTCGGTAGATTAATAGCTTGTTAGGCGGTAATACCGGTCGAACTTTTCTTGTATATTACCCTCTAATATTTTAGCTCGGAGAGAGCTGGGGTGATAGTATTAGGTTTGTTCTGCCCAAACTTGATCGTCATAAGCGAATAGCACTAGAATTTAGTCCTGAGGAAGAAGAGTCACTGAGTTTTCAATATGTCAGCACTGCTCATGCATCTCACATCACATCACATCACATCACATCAGTGACGTTCACCAGCAGAGCAACTATAAGCTTGCCAGGCATCAAGAGATTGATCCGTCGGTCCAATTAGCTTCCTCAGGATGGCCCAAAATGTAATATCCTTTCTGGTATGATCTATCACTAAGTTCTTCTCATATGAAACCTGGTCCCTGAAGATTTCACACCCTGTCGCGCTTGTGCAACCTATCAGGATCACGAATCGAGTTCACATATGACCGATAACATGCGAGTTATAGAAAGGCAGCAACATCAAACCTTCTTTCATTGGATGTAATGTGTGCAATGGAGTCGACTGGTCGATATGCGTACACAGACCGAGAAAAGTGAGGCTGACGAAGAGCTAGTCTCGCCTGGAAGTTCCGGGACGCTCGAATCATTTTTGCGGATACCCTCACTACTGTTCAAAAAGCCCTGACATATTCACTGTGTTTTGTGAGATAGATGGGTGGTTGGGTAAGGCTTCAATTGTATGATCCAGTCATTGGGACTTTGGGTCACAGCGAATTGGACGGTACATTTGTAGCGGCCCAATGCGTTCTTGAGCCCAACATATATGACATTGTTCCCGAGCCAGCCGGTAGCTTTTACTCCCCAGCTTGTATAGCTTGTACTTGCACGAGATCCTTCGCCAAG